TATATATATATATATATATACATACATATACATGTATATATGAACTTTTCACAAAAATCTGCTCTGACATGAGCCTAATTGCATAATTTTCCTGAATGGCCCCAGAAACTGCTGGTGATCACATACAAATGTTTGTATTTGTACCAGTTCTAATGCCAATACCCCTATGTGCTAATATAATCTTCGCAAACAGAAATTTTAGAATCTAAATTTATAGTTGAAATGAAAAACAAAAATTGCTGACTGGGTTTTAGTTCAGAGCCTATGAACACGGAGCCAATGTAGGTTTTGTGGTTTTAAACTCTGAGTTAGGAACCCAGAAGAATTTCCTGGTTTATCACAGTCGTGCTTTCTGTTTATTGCTGTTACTCCCCTTTCCAGGACACCCTCAGCGCCAAACAAATAAGCAACAACTTCCCAGCTTGGCTCCAATCATTCAGGGCTCTCACCCCCACTGGTTCTGGCAAGGCTGCGCTGACACCAACCTCATCTGTTCATCACATCTGTTTAACCAATCAGAGGGAACTTCCTTGTTGAGAGTAAGGAAGTGGCAGCTACGGAGGACACTGGCCAGAACGGGTGAGTGTGTTTAAGGGCCTGGAGAAATCCCAACTGGGACTGGGGTTTTCTCGGCTGAGAGTAGGACTGGGGTTGAGGGGTCAGTGGGGACGCTTGGGGTGGCTGTGAGGAGAGGCCTAGCGACTCTAGCGCCTAAGACTTCTCTCTTTCATTCTTTTTCCCTATGCTTTCACTCTCAGCAGACTGCAGGCTTCTTTTTTTTTTCTTTCTATTTTGGGCTGGAGTGTAGCACAGCGTGTAGGGTGTTTGCCTTGCACGGGGCTGACCTGGTCAGCTCAGGTTTGATTTCTCCGCCCCTCTCCGAGAGCTGGCAAGCTACCGAGAGTATCTTGCCCGCATGGCAAAGCCTGGCAAACTACCTCATGGGTGTTTGATATGCCAAACACAGTAACAAGTCTCACAATGGAGACGTTAGTGGGCCCGCTCGAGCAAACCGATGAACTATGGGGAGGACAGTGCTAAAATGCTACAGGGCTTTTTGGGTCACACCCCACGATGCACAGAGATTACTCCTAGCTCATACACTCAGGAATTACTCCTGGAGGTGCTCAGGGGGCCTTATGGCATGCTGGGAATTGAACCCGGGTCAGCTGTGTGCAAGGCAAATGCCTTACCTGCTGTGCTATCGTTCCAGCCCCCTGCAGGCTTCATATTAATGTCAGTGAACCCCACACATAGGTGTTCTGGGCTCAAGATAATGGAGCACCTTCTCCTAGAGGTCACTGGTGTTTCATGGTATATTAGTCATTTTTCATAGGTATATTATCATAGATTGACCGCGTGCAAGGCAAATGCCTTACCTGCTGTGCTATCACTCCAGCCCAAGATTCTTTAATAACACTTGGGAAGAGATGCTTTAATAACACTAGGGAAAACCATCTTCTATGGGAAGGAACGCAGAACTGTGCTTTCTGTGCCATTAATGAACCTGGTGGAAATTTCGGGCCTCCTTTCCTAACACCTGTTCAACATCAAGGAATTTACCCAGGAGAGGATTGGCAATTTGTCTTCATGCAAATGATCAAATGCTCAAACATTCAAGGTATAAATACCTATTGGTGCTTATTGATAGATTCAGTGGATGGGTAGTTTTTCCAATCTGAGAAGTGGCTTGGTGCTTCTATGCCATTAGAAAAATCTGGACACAGGAAGTCATTTTCTATCAACCAAACCTGTGGGTGAAGTTATTCCTTTCCATTTTTTAATGATAGAAATGGGAAGGTATTATGTTGCTTTGGTTTCTGTTAACTCTATGCTTTCACAGTGGGTAGGCCATTTGCTTTGCACACAGCTAACCCGGGTTTGATTCCTCTCTCCCTCTCGGAGAGCCTGGCAAGCTACAGAGAGTATTCTGCCTGCATGGCAAAGCCTGGCAAACTACCTGTGGTGTATTCGATATGCCAAAAACAGTAACAACAAGTCTTACAATGGAGACGTTACTGCTGGCCGCTCTAGCAAATCGATGAACAGTGATAGTGACTTTCTGACTCATTTCACTTAAAAGCTTTGCTCTTTATTGAGGCTAAAGGTCCATCCAATAACCTTAGTACTTTAGTTCCAGACACTCTGAGTTCAAAGGAAGAAACGTCCAATTGTGAAAACCTATCGCTGCTTCTGTTCTGCTCCCTGAAGTTCCCCTCTGTGGGAAATAGGGAACAGGTTCCATCCCCCCCACTTCCACCCCAAGCACCCACTGCTCATTTCAATGCTGCTGGTCCCTCTGCCAGGCCTCTGCTCTATGTGGTCCTCCCTGGTGGATAATAGGAGGTGGGATCCCAGGACCACACAGAGAACTGGATTTTCTCATCTGTTCATCACATCTTGAGTTCTGCAAACTCCCAGACTTCTCGTTACCCAAAATTTCTCCTCAGAGTTATGTTGGCCCCAGTAAGACACTGGCACCTTCTGGGACTCCAAGAGCTCTGGCCCAGGACCAGCCTTTTCTTCCCAGCACTTTCAGTTCTGTCTTCAAATGAGGGAGGATGATAAGAAAGGCACTCTGCTTCCTCTGCTTGTCATCTTGATTTTATTATGGACCTGGTGGGATCTCCACTGAGACTCTGTTTATCTATGTTCTTGGAGGGTGCTACTAAGGGATTGAAAGCAAAAACTAAAGTAAAGTACAGGGCAACTTTGAAGTTTAAGCTAATTGTGAATTTTAAGCCTACACTAGGGTCAGGCTAAGTATAGGTTAGGGTTAGTAATAGAATTAGGACTAAGATTTGGGCTTTTTTTGTAGGGGCTAGGTGTCTAGTTTTGCTGTGTTTGCAGTTAAAAAGGCAGTTTTAATATAAAGCAGTTGTTAAATTGTGGCTAATTAGTAGGCTTCAACAGTCTAGGGTCAAGGTTAAAATAGGGTTAGATTTAGAATTAGTGTTAGGACTGTGGTTAGGGTTAGAATTGTGCAGGGTTTCTATGTTATTTTAACAGTGTTTTAAAAAGTGAAATACAGGGAAATTGTACTTTTTTAGGTTTAGGTATTGTGTATGGGTTAGGTGTTAAGTAGTTCTGTGTTCAAAGTTAAAATTGCAAGCTAAGTATAGGGCAATTATTAAATTTTCACTCATTGGTAAGCTTAAGACCAGACTAGGGTAAAAGTTAGTATAAGACTAGGATTAGGATAAATGATAGGGCTCCGGTTAGGGGCAGGATTATGTAGGGTTTCTGTGTTCAGTTTGGCTGTGTTTAGTGTTTTTAAAGAGAGAAAGTATAGTACAGTATGATTGTTAAATTTAGACTAGTTGGGAGTTTTAAGCCTCACTAGGTTATAACTAAGTATAGGTTAAGGTTAGGAATAGAATTAGGATTGGTGTTTAAATTAGCTTTTGTGTAGGGGTTATGTGTAAAGTTTTGCTGTGTTTAAAATTGCAATTGCAATTAAAATTAATTATAGAAAAAAGATTAAATTTAGGCAAATTGGTAGTTTTAAGCTTAAAACAGGGCCTGACTAAGTATAAGTTAAGGTTGTGTTCCAAGTAGATTAAAATGTGCTGTCTGAATGGACGTCTTTATTGACTTCAGGGTTTTCAAATTGGTATTCCAGTTATAATGAAACAATTGTGATAATAATTTACTATGATGCTTATCAGGGAGAAATAAGAGCTTCATCCTCCCTGCATTTTCTCTTGCTTTGACTTTCATTAACTCTTGTTTTCAAAGATTTTTAGCAATAATGGAATGGTGTTTTAATAGGACAAATGTTACATAATTAAAATTGGAGTGTTTAATGAGGAAACAATATAATTTTTAATTATTATTTTTATAAAGTTGTTTGTGATGATTTATTACATTCGGTATTCCAACACTATTCCCACCACCATTGCATCTTCCCACCACCATTAGTTCCAGTTTTCCCAACCACCACCCAAGCAATCTCAATAGCAGACTCTAAATATTTTATATTACTTGTTCTGAATAATTTGATAAAAATGATCAAAACAAGTTTCCTTAGAAGAAAATATGTGAAGATTATTCTATCTTACCCTAGAGTCATTAGTCCATTGGGTAAAAGATTACTAACATGTTGTTACAGTTTAAGCCTTGTGTGTTAATATTTTCTTAATCAAGATTGGTTACCTTCGACTGTGCATCCCACCCAATGTGTTGTGCTACTCCTAGTATGTCAGTGGTATAGTGTTTAAGATATCACGCAGCCACAAATGCCACCATGTGCTCCAGGAGTTCTAATATGTTGAATTGGGTAATATAGAATATAGCTCTAGTTAAATTTTTAACTGGATGGTGACTTTCTGTTCCATAAGCATCTCTGCAGCTTGTTGATCTCTTTCGAGATTTATTTATGAGTCTCTGGATCATGGCGGGTTAATGAGCTTATATGACACCAGAGGCAGTTCATGGGCATGACTGCCAGGCTCCTGGAAGGACAGGAAGAAGTGGGGAAATAGCCCAATCCCGACTCCACGAGAGCCTGGGGATTTCAGTCACAAAACCCATATAACTGAGTTTTTCAACAGATTCACTTCTGGATGAGGCTCATCCCAAGCCTCTGGACTCTGCCTGTGAGTATGGCAGTGATTGGCGTGTGGAGGTCTTGGGCTGCTGGGGCTCTGTTTGGGCAGGTGATCAGCTACCCACTCCCCGTCTGGGGCTGGAAGCATTTAAAAGTGGTAGGATGTTCACCTTGCATGCGGCCAACCTGGCAGACCTAAGTTCAATTCCTCCACCCCTCTTGGAGAGCCCGGCAAGCTACCGAGAGTATCTTGCCCGCATGGCAAAGCCTGGCAAGCTACCCATGACTATTCGATATGCCAAACACAGTAACAACAGGTCTAACAATGGAGACATTACTGGGCCCACTCAAGCAAATCGATGAACAATGGAGGACAGTGCTACAGTATCAATTTAAGTAAGCATGTGATACCAACATTTGTCTGGCTGCATTTTCTTTGCCTCTAGATACAATATTGGAGCATTTCAGGAGAAGCCATGGCCTCGGACACAGCTACCATGAATTTTAGGGACGAAGCAATCTGTCCCATCTGCCTGGAACTGATAACTAGACCTATGAGCATTGACTGTGGACACAGTTTCTGCCACGTATGCATAACACGCATTATTGAGAGTCAAAGGCAGGAGACATTTCACTGTGCCCTATGTCGGGAACCTTTTACTAGGAACAGTCTCCGGCCAAATAGGCAGCTGGAAAATCTCATTGAATCCTTCAAGGAAGTGAATAAGAACATGTGTGAGCAACATGGAGAGAGGCTCCACCTGTTCTGTGAAAATGATGGTCAACTCATCTGCTGGTGCTGTGAGCGGTCACCACAGCACAGAGGACATGTCACTGCTCTTGTTGAGAATGCATGCCAAGACTACAAGGTGAGTTTGTGTCAAACGGTTTCACAGGTACCTGTTTTCATGCTGCTCCCAGAACATCCATGAAATTTGGGATTATGGTGTTGAAATATAGTTTTCATCATGTCAGTTCTTTGGAGTAACAGTTCATGATGGGCCCTCACTGAATCAGGTCCTGACTGCAGACTGAACTTCATTCAGCAGAATAGTCAGACACTTGGCTCTTGTTATAACTAACTTCTCTTGTTCTAAAATCCAGTTTGCAAAATTCCACAGCTGTATGATTTATTGTACAAATTGTCTACATACTTAGTGAATCAACAATGAGCCAAACTTGTGATAGATTCTGAAAATACAAGGTACAAGGACACAGTACCTTTCAGGTATCCTTCAGTCTATTCCAAACACTGCTTGGAGTCCCTTGTTTTGGGCACTTAAGGATGTGGAATGAAATCTAAGGAGTCTTTTCACAGGTGATTCCTGAAAAGCAGATACAAATTACCATTTACGTAATAGTAGAGAAAAATGGTATTTATGCAATATTTCCATGGCAAGAGTATAATGGTGTATATGGATCTGATTCTGACATACCTTAGTCACCTAAAACTTACAGTAGATGAATATCTTAACTCCTTCTCAAGTCCCAGTTTCTAGCACAGAAATGATACTAAAAATCCTAAGGTCTTCTTGGGGTTTCTTTCTTTTTTTTTTTAATTAGTGAAACACCATGAGATACAGCTGTAGACTTACAAACTTCCATGCATGGGTTTCAGTTATACCATGATTGAGTACCCATCCCTCCACCACTGCCCATTTTCCACCACAAATGATTCTTGTAGCCCTCCCACCCCCACACTCCACTCCCCCCACCCCACCCCGTCTCTGTGGCAGGGCATTCCCTTTTGCTCACTCTTTCCTTCACGGTCTTGTAGTTTGCAACAGAGGTATTGAGTGGTCATCATGTTTGGTCTATAGTCTACTTTCAGCACGCATCTCGCATCCCAAGCGAGTCCTCCAAACATCCTTAACTTGGTGTTCCCTTCTCTATATGAGCTGCCTTTTTCCCCAGTATGTGCTGTCGGCTTCCAAACTGTGGAGCAGACCTCCTGGTACTTATCTCAACTATTCTTGGGTGTTCGACTCCCATTGTTACTTTATATTCCCTTCTTGGGGTTTCTGAGGATACCAAATAATTACTGGACAAGCAACCTTCAACAGGCATTCTTGAATTATAAGGAGCCATCAAATATTCAGTGTCATCCTAATTCTCTTTGAAGTCTGGGGTTCCTCTTATATGTGTAATGAAATTAACTAAATTTATTCACCAATTTTTTTTCCCTTCAGAAAAAACTTGAGAGTACTCTCACAAAATTGAAGCAAATGCAAGACCAATGTAACAAGCTAAAAATGTCCATGGAAGAGCAAATAACCAACTGGGAGGTAAAATTTTGAGTCTTTATAAGATTTTTGGTTTGTTTTGGAGGCCATATTTGTCAATGTTCAAGGCTTACTCCTGGTTCTGTGCTCAGGGATTACTTCTAGCAGGATTTGGGGAACTATATGTGCTGGTGGGAATTAAAGTGTGCAGGGCAAACATCTTATTTACCCTCTGTTTTATCTCCCCCAAATTTGAATTTTTATCTCATGTTATTTTTATTTTAGAACTAAGCATTTGTGCTGATTAGGCAAAGCACAATGATGGTTTATGCTTATTAAACTAGACCAGATAGATGAACTTAAAAAGAATGCCATGTTTTGTTATTATGCTGCATCTATGAGATGCTTCTGTGCGTTTCCTTGTCTATGAGGATTTACTTCCAAGCCCCCAAGCTTTCAATAATAATTATTATTATTTCAATTATTATTGACTAGAAGTTCTGATACCTTTATACCTTTATTCATTTGTTCCAAGAGTCTTTTTTGACTGGGATTCAAAATTTAAATGCCTCAAAGTTAAGTAGCTCACATTTTAATACATCCCTGGTTTGAAGGCTTCACACATATTAATTTGGCCTATTCACCATGGTAAAGGATCTGGCACTCAACTTTTCGTGTTCATAAATAAGCCTTTATAAGCACTAAGGAAGAGGATCACTCCAGGAGGGATTCAAATTCTTCAAGTTTATGAAACTGATGAACAGGATCATAACTTAGAACATACACATCTGAAACTTGATTCTTTGAGCCTGTTTCAAGCTGACCAATTGCCCCACAGTTGAATTCATTCCTTTTACTGATGCAATATATCAGTTTGCAGTTAACATCACAGACCAATGAGTCATTTTGATTCTTTCAGGGTTTCTTCCAGTATCTCTCCTACTCCCTTCTGATATTAATATCAGATTCTCAGTGAACAGTATTCTCTTATTTCTAAGGCTCTGAGCAGTGGGATGGAAGTTTGATGTAAAAACATGGAAACCCAATCAGTGGAGCAATTAAAGTTGCCCTAGTCTCATTTAGGAAAGTTTCATTTCAACCCAAATCAATTACCCTCTTCCACAACTTCATCCATGAAACACCACAGAAAACAAGAAATCACTAATAGCAGCTGCAATTCTATACTTCCATGTTGAGAGCCGAATTCACAATACAGATCATCTGGTGTCTGACCATCTTTAGGTGGAGTTCTGTTGGTGAATGAATAGTTCCCTGAACTACTTTAAAAGACTAACAGTCAAACTTCTCTCTGCTAAGAAGAATGAACTTATCTACCAGCCTGGTAGTTGTAATGAATAATCTTATTTATGTTTGGTTACAAGTGAACATAAATAAGATTATGTTATTTCACTTCATCTTTCCTTCAGAGACAGAGAAAACCTTTTTATATTATTTAAAAAACTGAGTGTAAAGTGGCTCCCTGGCACGGCCATGGCTCCAGAGGCAAAAGGACTTAGTCCAGAGCCCAGCAGCTTGCAGAAGAAAAGTGAATGGACCATGCGTTAAACTGCAGCACCATGCCTCCCCAGGAGGGGAAGGGTTTTACTCCCTTCCACCTTTATCCCCCCTGGCAGCAAGGTGGTCGCCGCCTCAGAGCTTATAGGAAAGCCAAGTATGAGCCGGAGATGAAAGAGCAACTGCAGTCTCATGGGAAGGGGGGCGGTACCGGCACATCCTGCACGCCCTACCGGGGTCATGAGTTACCCCCCACAAGCGGCTCTCCGGCATGGCCATAACACCAGACACACAGAAACCAATCTCGTAATTATCTGGCTCTTTGCAGAAATCCAAAATCGTGGCCACGTGACATTATATGATTCTCATAACAGCTATAGAAAACAAAATATTTCACAATGCCTTTTCAGCAATTCTGATTGTTTGGGGGGAAATTCTAAACAACAATGGTGCATCTTTTGTTGAAATAATGAATGTAATCAATGTAGAGAAGAGTTAAGTAGAAATCATCTGCCTCACAGGCATTTGGAGGGGTGGTAGAGGGGGTATACTGGGATTCTTGGTGGTGAAAAATGAGTACTGGTGAAGGGAAAGGTGTTTGATCATTGTATGCCCGAGACTTAAACCTGAAAGCTTAGTAACTTTTCCCACAGTGATTCAATAAATAAAAATAAAAATAAAATTAAGGTGGAGTTCATGCCCAATTCAATCAGCTAATCAATGGCTGAATAAATAGCAGTACTCCTACCAAAAAAAAAGAAAACTGAGTGTAGGTATTGGAGAGATAATACTTGGGTTGACATTTGTCTTGCAGGCAGTAGACTCTGGTTCCATCCCCAGAACCACATATGCTTCTGTGTAAGCACTCTTAGAAGAGTGCTTACAACCACCACTGGATGTGTCCTCTCTTCAAAGGAAACTCTTGATTTTTCTAAATGGTATTTTTAGAAATGAAGTGTTTGACCTTTGCCCTAGCTCTATAATTAAGTTATTTAGCACTTCTGATCCTTTGTTCTCCTATATCATTATTGAAGAATCAAGGATATTAACTAGGTGATTATCAAAATTGTGAAAATCTCACCCAAACCTAAGTGCCTCACTTGTGGACACAGCAAAGGAACGTGGCACATTCTTTCAGGGAAATGATTCACGGGAAAATAATGATGCAGTGCTATCGGTTTATTTTGTATATCAGCACATGTGTGTCCCTGTTCAAATAAGCATTGCATGAAATTTACATTTTAACGCTTATAATTTCCATGGAATTAAGTAGTCCCACACTGTTTTGTAACTATCAGGCTATCTGCAGAAGTTTGCATTGTTTCAAAGTGAAACTATTCTTAGTAAATTGTTTTGTCTCCAACTGAATTCTGGACTCTATTACTTCTTGTTTCTTATATTTTGTAGGTATTTCATTTATATAGATTCACAACATTTTTTTTTCATTTGTGGCTGGCTTACTTCATTCAATGTTCCTTCTAAAGTTTCATGCAAGTTATAATAAATATCAAGTTTCGTTCCTTCTTAAGAACAAATAGTATTCCAGCCTGCAAGGTAGTTCAAAGGTCTGAGATCTGGGCAGGAGCGATAGTACAGCAGGTAGGGCATTTGCCCTACTGTGCATGCAAGAGAGGTCTAAGTCTGATCACTGGCACCACATGGTCCCTGAGCACTATCAGGAGTGCCTCTCAAGCACAGAGCCTGGGGTAGCCTCTGAGCTCCCCCAGGTATAGACCAACTCACACCTAAAAAAAAATTCCCTTATATCTATGTAGCTAAACATTTAGTTTGTTTTCATCTTTTAAGGGTGGCCGATGAGGAGATTGTCTGGTGCCAGCAGGGTATGGCTTATGGGTATGATCCCTGAGTCACTGGAGACTGGGGGAAGCAGGCAAAGGATCTCTTCTCCGGGTCCCATTGAGTCCAGAGTCCCAAGTGACAAAGGTCCGCATTAGGAGTATAAAAGGAGGCTCCCAGAACCATGCCACCAGACTCTGCGCCAGGCTGTGGGGCGGGTGAGAACCCTCCCCACCTCTAGAAACCCAGTCCCAGCAGCCGACCACAACTGCCCAACCACTGCCATGCTCCAGGCTGCTTTCTGGACCATGTGGTCGCAAAGTCATAAGAAACTTTCTACCCATTTATGCCTCTTGGAGAGCCTGGCAAGCTACTAAGAGTATTCTGCCCACACGGGCAGAGCCTGGCAAGCTCCCCATGGCATATTCAATATGCCAAATACAGTAATGACAATAATGATCTCTGGATAATAAGTCTCATTCCCCTGACCCTGAAAGAGCTTCCAATCATTGGGAAAAAATGAGTAAGAAGAGGCTGCTAAAATCTCAGGGCTGGGAGGAATGTTACTGGCGCCCACTCGAGTAATTTGATGATCAATGGGATGACTGGAGCGATAGCACAGCGGTAGGGCGTTCGCCTTACAAGCGGCCAACATGGCCGACCCGAGTTCGATTCCTCCGCCCCTCTCGGAGAGCCCGGCAAGCTACCGAGAGTATTCGATATGCCAGACACAGTAACAACAAAGTCTCCAATGGAGACGTTACTGGGCCCGCTCGAGCAAATCGACGATCAACGGGAGGGCCTTTACTTTACTTTTACTAATGGGATGACAGTGATACAGTGATACATCTTTTAAACATGTGTTTATTGCTTCTAGAAAACTATAGAAAAAGAGAAACAAAACATCCACACTGATTTTGAGACCCTCTACATCTTCCTTCATGAAGAGGAGAAGTCTCAGCTGTCAAAACTGGAGAAGCAAAAGGAACAGGCTCTGAAGAGACTACAAGCTGATAGAACAAGTTTGAAAATGCAGAGGAACAGACTCAAGAACCACATTGTGGAACTGGAGAAGAAATATCAGGAACCTGAGTGTAAATTGTTGCAGGTAGGACTGTTACTTAGGGGACGGAGAGAAAGGGTTTGCTTACAACCCATTACGATGAGAACAGTGAGGGGGCCTGAGAGACGGTAAGCCCTCCTACCTCACTCAGCTGGGTACTTGTGTGGAGAACAAAGTCTATATTTTAGACACACATTCACTTATACATTGACATCTGCAGAGTGGCTTCCAAGGGTTCGTCGAGTGTCTTTATGTGAATCAGAAACATTGACCTGCTTGAGGGTTGGAGTGATAGCACAGGGTGTTTGCCTTGCACGCAGCCGACCTGGGTTCGATTTCCAGCATCCCATATGGTCCCCCAAGCACCGTCAGGAGTTCCTGAGTGCATGAGCCAGGAGTAACCCCTGTGTATCACCAGGTGTGACCCAAAAAGCAAAAAACAAAACAAAACAAAAAAAATTGATCTGCTTTTGATAATCACAGTGAGTTTCTTGACCAAATGGAACCACTGGATAATTTTTGCTACTATTTATCTCATTTGCATAGAACTCTGGCTGTGCAGCTGTCCCCTGAATGCCTCTTCCGTTGACTGGGGGTGATAAAGTGAGGCCACCAAAATGAGCGATGATCTTTTCCTTGATTTCTTTATGATGTTCTTATAATGTTCTTATTCCAAAGACTCCATGGGGCTTTCTGATAAATGCCTATAACTGTTTATTCTACTTCTAAAAGAAGTAAACTTGAGGGGACATTGGCAATTGAGACTGTAGTGTATTTGCCCACCAACACTTAATGGCTGCTGCATCCCACAGTCATCTAGTTTCAGGATTTCAGGGGTTCTGCTTGGATCCATCACTTAAGACCTTTTTTTTTTTTTTTGCTTTCACACCTGGTGATGTTCAGGAGTTACTCCTGGCTTTGCACTCAGGAATCACTCCTGGTGCACCTATTGGGATGCTGGGAATTGAATCCAGGTCAGCCGCGTGCAAGGCAAACGCCTACCTGCTGTGCTATCACTCCAGCCTCCACTTAAGACCTTTGTAATAAGTCATTTCTAATCTTGGCTCACTCTTAAGGAAATTAGACCCATAAAGCAAGTTTTGGCAGGGATAGCCTGGACACCCTACTGTCCTTTCCCAAGCAGTGGACAGGCTAATGTTATTGAAGACACCACATCAGACTCCATGCCAGGCTGTTTCACTCAGGGTGCCCCAGATGGGGGTGAGTGAGAGCCCTCTCCGCCCCAAGGGACCCAGCTCCGGCAGCCAAAAACCTCCACAACCCAACCACCTCCATGCTCAAGGCTGCTCACCACACCCTCAGGTGGAGCCTCACATATGAGTGAACATAGTCCTGGACCACACAGCCGCGACACATAAGATGTTCTTATAATATGTTCGTATAACATTATAAGAACATCATAAGATGCTCCCGACCCATTCTCCATAATTACCACACCATATTTGATGGGGTTCAGATAGTAGGCAACAAATCATACAGGGAAATAATATATATATACCAAAGCTCACATCACTAAACATTAACAACATGTTAGTGATACCCTATAGAATGTCATAATGGCTCCTGCCAAAATAGAACAATCTTCACACTCTTTCCTATATGAACACATTTTTGTAAGCATGTTCAGCAGTTTTTCATACAGACAATATAAAATATATTATTTCTGGTGTGTTTTGGGATTGGGTCAGACATTTTTGCCACATGCAAGGCAAACACCCTACCACCATGTTATCAAGTGATAGCACAGCAGTAGGGCGTTTGCCTTGCATGTGGCCAACATGGCCGACCCGAGTTCGATTCCTCGCACCCCTCTCGGAGAGCCCGGCAAGCTACCGAGAGTATCTCGCCTGCACATCAGAGCCTGTCAAGCTACCCGTGATGTATTTGATATGCCAAAACACAGTAGCAACAAAATCTCCAATGGAGACGTTACTGGGCCCACTCGAGCAAATCGATGAACAACGGGAGAACAGTGACAGTGGCAGTGTTTTGGGATTGGGGCTTCCCAAATTTGGTGGTGAGAAGGTGTAATGGTGGTGGGATTGGCGTTTGAATATGAAATGTAATCAAATATTGTGAACTAACTTATAAAATTAAAACATTTTAATGAATAAGTAAAATTTTTTTTAAAAAAAGCCACAATCTGATTTGCCATCCCTACCAAGTACCACAGCTAAGAATGTGTAAACCACGCATGTGTAGAGCCCCAGTTTTTGCAATAACAACAAATGGAAAGATGATCAGGGAGTAAATTAATGAAAAACAGAAAGATTGATAAATATGCTATCATGCTGAATAACATGAGGATCTGGGATAGGAATAATTTTATCTAGGAGTCCATTGATAGCTAAACCTGTGGTCATTCTGTTTACTTCTTTGGAAGCAGCGTTCATAGAAAACAGTTCCACAAACCAAACCCCATGAAATATTGATGTTCTCACACTCATCTTTGGTCTTTGTTTATCTACAGAACGTGAAAGATATCTTGAGCAGGTAAGAGCTAGGTGAACCAAGGAGGGAAGAGGTGTGGGCACATTGAGCTAACTGGAATGTCTCACTGATGAAGTCTGTGGCTTCTGCTTATTCCAGGAGTTCATCTGTGAAGCTGGAGTTGCCGGAGACTTTCCCTTTGGATTCTCATATTGAGTGCAGTGTTTCTGAGCTGTACTTGGATGTGAAGAAAATGTTAAAGAGCTACCAAGGTGTGTAAAGTAAAGAATTCACTAGCTTTGGGGCCACAGCGATAGTATAAGGATAGTAAAGCACTTGCATACAGTAGAACCTAGTTTGATTCCTGATACTGCATGTAGTTCTCAGTGCCTCACCAGGAATAGAGCCCCACCTGAGCATTGAAACAGTAGTGATCCCATCACACTGCCATTAGTGTCCCCCAAACAAACAAGTCTTAACTAACTTCCAAAGAGGAAAGGGACTCACATGATAACCAAGTTTACCACCAGCTGTCCCTATATAGGTTCAGGGCCCAGAAAGAATGTTTAATTGTTCTGAATAAAGCTGTCAAATTATTTTTTGATAGCATAATTTTATGTTTAGACAGGGATCTAGGGACATTGCAAAATCTGTGAAGACTCCTCAAGTTCTTACTCATATTTATTGGCTTGCGTAAGTTCAGTTTTATAAGCTCCTCCACTTTACAAAGAAAGAATGAAATGTAAATTCTAGTGGGTTGTCATGAAAATTAAATACAAAAACCTCTATAAAGCCTTCAGTACATTGTCTGAGCTGATATTATTTTCCTATTTGCAAAGTATACAATATAGGAGAAGATATAGACTATGATATAAATGACTTTAGGACCAGGACCCAGATAACAGTAAATGTTAGAACAGGAATTAAAGCCAGGTTTTGCCAAATCCAAATACTGAACCTCCTGCATATTGATCCCTTAACCTATGCTTTCTATGTTTCTAAAATATGCAATTATGAAGTTTTTAAAACTCAATTTCTTGCAATAGAAGACCTAACCTGAAAAGAGTTTGTGACTTTGTCATTGTGTAATCAAACATACATACAACTCTGTTTCCCAATCAATACTCTGTTGGTTAACCAGAGTAGTTAACGGAATTATTCAAAGGCAGGGGCACAAGAGACAACAGAGTGAGTCAGGCATTTCCTTTGCACGCAGTCAACTTCAGCATTCCATATGGACCCCTGAGCACTGCCAGGTATAACTCCTGTATGCAGTGGAGTAACCTCTGAGTATCACCAGGTGTGGCCCCCAAACAAACAAAATTATCCATAGGCAGATATAAATTTGAGATTTGTAATTTAAGTTGAACATGTAAAATTGAGGTTTGAGCTTGGCCTTAAATAATCATGGAGCGGCTAACTTTATTTTTTTTCCAAAATACAGTATGTTCTGCATTGTACTTCTTTGGGAGGTAGCATGTTAGTATGTTCAATTCCATGAATCTATATACTTTAATTCAAAAACATTACTATTTTCCAATATTTAGAATGCATTGTAGGTCTTTTATGATTAGTTTCTAACCTAATTTTAAGAGTATTTCTAACTCTGCTCCTTTTAGCCATATAGACTCTTCTAGAGTTTCTCATTGATGGAACCAAACAGAAACTAGAGAAAGGGAGTCTGGTTGATATGACTATGGCCATAAGTCTTTCTGGGAAGCAAGAGAGTGGGAAAAGGTGGGAAGTCAGCTAGTACAAAACAGAGTAAAGCAAGTGTTTCTGCATACTTGATTTTTCATACACCCCCCAATCCAGCTGATCAGTGCTAAACGAGTGAAATAGTGTAGTGATGAGCTCTTACTAGAGCTTCCTATCATGAACTTCTATTTTAAATATTGCACTGCTAGCCATCATCACACTTAAGATTGTTTTTAATTTTTTGGGGGGGCTATCATTTATTATTTATTTATTTGTATAAAGTTGTTCATAGTGATTTATTGCATTAAGTATTCCAATACCAATCACACTACCATTGCACCTCCCCACCACCATATTTTCAAGATTGTTTTATTTGACTCTAATCAGATAGTTTTCATGTATATTGGTATTCAGTGTATATGGATTCTCATGCATATGCATATTACCTTATCCTAATCCCAATGGAATATTATCTGAATTCAGCAAGAAAGACAAACTTTTACTTTAAATTCATGAGAATTGGCATGTGTCCTGAGGCCCAGCTAAAATTTTGGGAAATCTGTAACAATCTATGACATTTGCTGTGTTAATTTTCTTTCATATCTTCAGTGTCTGTGATTACTATTCAGGATGAAAGGGCTCATTTCTGCTCCAATATTTGCTCAGACCTAAATGTCCTAGATAGGTGGAGAGAAAGGGTTTGGAAGAATACAGTAGCAAGCTAATTCTGCTTAGTTTTGCTCAGAAACTAACATGATGATATTTTATTATTACCATTTAACAGCTTAATATATTCTAAAGAATTTCACCAAGAGAATACATCATCTCATTCAATCTTCCCAATTAATCCTTGTGACACATAGGAAAATTTCTACTTTGTAGTTAACAAACTGATCATCCAAGAATGACTCGTTCTAAGAATGACTAGTAGGAAATAAAAATTGCATTTGATCACAGATTTGTTTCATATAAACTGTGTTCTCAGAACACACACAAAAATCTCTCTTTTTCTTTTTCCTCAGTTAATGTCACTCTGGATCCAAATACAGCTCATCCTGATCTACTTGTGTCTGAGGATCGGAGATGTGTAACTGGTCCTAACTCCGGGGAAAGTCTTCAGACTGAGAGACGAAGACACAATCGTTTGTTCTACTCTGTTCTAGGCTGTGAGGGCTTCACCTCAGGAAGACATTATTTTGAAGTGGTTGTCAGAGATAAAGATGAGTGTAGTATAGGTGTTTGCCTAGAAAGTGTGCAGAGAGATGGTGACCAGGTACAGGAGCCTCTGACTGGATTCTGGACTATCAGATTATTAGACCAGCCTCGCTTTGTGGTGGCCATGGCCTCTTCCCAGAGTTTACTTTCTCGGATGGAACAGCTTCAGGTCTTGGGGGTGTTCCTAGACTATGAGGCTGGACTTGTCTCCTTTTACAACATGACTACCGGTTCTCACATCTTTACTTTCCCCAAAGCCTCCTTCCCTGAGACTCTCAGACCCTTTTTCCAGGTTTGTAATGATACTGTTTTGTGTCTGCCTCTTCCAGAGAATTAAGGAAAGGAGTAAAATATCCTTTATAGTTTATCCACTATATAGAACATCATGTAAATCCAGGTGAAAAAACATTTAGTCTATATTCTTCCCTGCTATTTCCCTGTACCAAGTACATTTCCTATACCATGAATAGTGCTGAGTTTTTATGAATATTTAATTTTTAATGTCATTAAATAAATTGATATGCAAATTCTTGAAAATACTGCAACTTATGACTCTGAACTTGGAAACAAAACATACTATCCATCATCTTCCTTCTCACTGGATCCAGATGTTTCATATCCAAGTCTCTGAATGATCGGCAGAGTCACCAGATTATTTGACCACTGAAACTTCTGTGTAGTGGATGAGGAAAGCTAAAATTGTTCAAGTTGGCAGCATAAAAGCAGGGAATTCAAAATAGAAATAACTCTTCTAACCACTGACTTTCTTACAGGAAAAAACCATAAACATTACATGACTAGAAATATGTTAACAACAATAAAATTTTAACTGGGATTATTTAGAAAAATATTGAAACACCAGAATGTACATAGCACTGTAGCACTGTTCTCCCAATTTGCTCGAGCGGGCACCAGTAACGTCTCCGTGGACTTATTACTGTTTTTGGTATATAGAATATGCTACAGGGAGCTTGCCAGGCTCTTCTGTGGAAGAATGTACGTACTGAAAATAATAATATGGATGGGGTCACTTGAAGAATTAAAAGGTAAAGGCCCTCCCGTTGATCGTCGATTTGCTCGAGCGGGCCCAGTAACGTCTCCATTGGAGACTTTGTTGTTACTGTGTCTGGCATATCGAATACTCTCGGTAGCTTGCCGGGCTCTCCGAGAGGGGCGGAGGAATCGAACTCGGGTCGGCCATGTTGGCTGCGTGCAAGGCAGACGCCCTACCCGCTGTGCTATGAAGAATTAAATGAAAATATATTTGAAGCCTTGATTAAAAGGCTTTCTAAAACTAAATGATATCTGCACTTGTATGTTTGTTGCAGCATTATTCACAATAGCCATAATCCAGAAAAAAACCAAAGTGCCAGAGAACAGATGACTCGTTAAAGAAACTAGTACATCTACGCAATGGAATACTATGCAGCTGTTAGAAAAGATAAAGTCATGAAATTTTCATATAAGTGGATCAACATGGAGAGTATCATGCTAAGTTAAATGAGTCAGAAAGAGAGGGACAAACCTAGAAGGACTGCACTCGTGTGGAATATAAAGTAACATAATAGGAAACTACATCCAAGGATAGTAGAGATAAGGGCCAGGAGGATTGCTCCATGGCTTGGAAGCTGGCTTCACATGCTGGGAGAAAAGACAGCTCAGAAAGAGAAGGGACCACCAAGTATATGATGTTTGGAGGGCTCACTCAGGATGGGAGATGTGTGCTGAAAGTAGACTATGGATCGAACATGATAGCCACTTAGGACCCATATTGTGAACCGTAACACTCAAAAGGAGAGAGATAGTAAAAGGGAATTTGCCTGCCACGGAGGCGGGGGTGGTGTTGGGGGTGAGGTGGCAGGAGAGATACTGGGAACATTGGTGATGGAAAGTGGGCACTGGTGGAGGGATGGGTACTCGATCATTGTATGACTGAAATGTAATCATGAAAGTTTGTAAATCTGTAACTATCTCACAGTGATTCAGTAAAATTATTTTAAATCAATAAAAAAATTTAAAAAAAGACTTTCTAAAACTAAATTAAATAAATAAATAAGTAAAGTTCAAACGGTGGGTAACCTCCCCACCCCCTACCCCCCTGTATTTTTGGAAGCCCTGATAGCCACCCCCACATTCCACCACCACCCCAGCCATATAAGTTCCGTGCCCAGTTAAATATTATGGATTTTCTGGAGTGACATCTCTAAACTCTACAATATTAACATCACAATAGGAGCACACCAGATTGGAGGGGAATGTAACATAGAAGCCAACAAGCTCGTTTAGCAAAATTATTAACACAAAAGGCTCAACTAGCAGCAACAGCTTAGACAAACCTTCAAACAAGAACTTAATGTACCCAGGGGGAGATAGAACAATTTTCACAAATCTTGTTTTACTGAAGTATTTTACTGAATTTTACTTTTTTTTTTCCAATTCCATTAGCCACTTAGTTGTAGCACTGTAGCACTGTCCTCCCGTTGTTCACCGATTTGCTCGAGTGGATACCAGTAACAGCTCACAACAAATTATGAGACCTGTTGTTACTGTTTTTGGCATATCAAATATGTGACGAGTAGCTTGCCAGGCTTTGCCATGCGGGCGAGATACTCTCGGTAGTTTGCTGGGCTCTCCGAGAGAGGTGGAGGAATCGAACCCAGGTTGGCTGTGCACAAGGCAACTGCCCTACCCTCTGTGCTATCGCTCCAGCCCCACTTAGTAGTAACAAACAACATAGAATATGGGGATAGACTTCAAGGGTGGTTGGGAAAAATGAGGACAATGGTAGAGGGAAGGTGACAAGATGGTGAGATTGGTGTTGGAATATTGAATGCTTGTAACAAATGCATCATTTACAAAGTTGTTTAACTTTGTAAACCATGGGGTTTAAATAAAGTGGAAAAAACAAATAAAAGTCCTAACTGACTCACAAAGGGCAAAGAATATGTTAATAGACTATTATACAAATGAAAATCAAAACTATGCACAATTCCAACTGAGTAAAGTTTCGAAATAAAAGAAGGAATAGATATTTCATGCTTCCTTTAAAAATGAAAATAGCAAGTTATCATACCAATGATTATTTTAAGTTCCAGACACTAGATAACCCAAAAACGAGTGGTTGAATCAAGTTCATGTCTCTCCAAAGTAAAGGCAATTCAGATGCACATATCCATGAAGTTCTGGACCAGGCACTTACAACAATCTTTCTTCTTTCTTCTTCTTCTTCTTCTTCTTCTTCTTCTTCTTCTTCTTCTTCTTCTTCTTCTTCTTCTTCTTCTTCTTCTTCTTCTTCTTCTTCTTCTTCTTCTTCCTTCTTCCTCCTTCTTCCTCCTTCTTCCTCCTCCTCCTCCTCCTCCTCCTCCTCCTCCTCCTCCTCCTCCTTCTTCTTCTTCTTCTTCCTCTTCTTCTTCTTCTTCTTCTTCTTCTTCCTTCTTCCTCCTTCCTCCTCCTCCTCCTCCTCCTTCTTCTTCTTCTTCTTCTTTTTCTTCTTCTTCTTCTTCTTCTTTCTTCCTTCTTCTTCTTCTTCTTCTTCTTCTTCTTCTTCTTCTTCTTCCTTCTTCCTCCTTCTTCCTCCTCCTCCTCCTCCTCCTCCTCCTCCTCCTCCTCCTCCTTCTTCTTCTTCTTCTTCTTCTTCTTCTTCTTCTTCTTCTTCTTCTTCTTCTTCTTCTTCTTCCTTCTTCCTCCTTCTTCCTCCTTCTTCCTCCTCCTCCTCCTCCTCCTCCTCCTTCTTCTTCTTCTTCTTCTTCTTCTTCTTCTTCTTTTTCTTCTTCTTCTTCTTCTTCTTCTTCTTCTTCTTCTTCCTTCTTCTTCTTCTTCTTCTTCTTCTTCTTCTTCTTCTTCTTCTTCTTCTTCTTCTTCTTCTTCTTCTTCTTCTTCTGTCATACCCAGCTATGCACAGTGCACAGCAGTTACTCCTGGCTCATGCACTCAAGAATTACTCCTGGCAGTGCCCGGGGGAACCATATGGGAATCTGGGAATTGAACCTGGTTGGCTGCATGCAAGGCAAACACCCTACCCACTGTGCTGTCACTCCAGCCTCACCAATTTTCTTCTTACAACCCTCCACCATTCTTAAGATTCAAGATAGCTTTTAAAGTTCCAGAAAGCATACCAGCACTCCAGGATGTAAAGTGGAGAAAGGAATACAGAAATAACATATAGGGCATACATACAAAGCATCTGGTTTTTCACTATAGTTTCCTAAATCTTACCATGAAACTTCTTTGTAGCACATCAACCAAATTTAGTCCGGTGCCACACCCAGGGAATCTGATAAATGTCTTGTTTTCATGATGGTCAGATATTATATACAATTAAGCTTCTCAAGAAAGAAATGGAGAGTGGACTTGGAAGTAGATGATCAACAGTCCCCTCCAAAATTACATGTTATTTAAACTGTTATAGTTATTGGATTTAAAAAAAATAGAAAGCCTACAGACTCAGCGATTTATTTCAAACTTGAAAGATAATACCCCAACAAAATCACAATCACAAATGATCCTGTTATTCGTCGATTGCCTCGAGCAGGCCCCAGTAACGTCTCTTTCATCCTAGCCCTGAGATTATATTCAAGGCTCTTTAGGAGAATGACACCCATCATTGTTACTGGTATTTGGCATATTGGGTACGCCACGGGGAGTTTGCCAGACTCTGCCGTGTGGGCAGGCTACAATCGGTAGCCTGCCAGTTTGTCCAAAGTAGGAATGAGATAATAAGATGTCATAATAAGATGTTGCGAATTTGGAGGATCTGAGTGGAGGATTCTCGGCCCCAATCCTAGTAGGCTTGGAAATCTCGGCCCCAGAACCCGCATGGCTTTGTCCCTCTGCCAGTACCTTCATGTGTGCGGAGAGTGGTCTCAGCATGGTGGTGGCTGGTCCTGGAGGTTTTCGGCTGTCTGAGCTCTGGTCGGGGCAGGGAAGAAAGCTCAACCCGCTCCCCTCCAAGGGGCCCCGGCGAGAACAGCCAGGCGTGGGGGCAGGAGACTGCCACCCCAACCAAAAAAGAATTGAATCTATTCGAATTTGGTATCTACTGTTAAAAAGGGAATGACACCCAAATGGTCATGCTTACCTTAAGCTGACAAAGACTTAGTATCTAACTGTTGCAGGTGAGAGATCTCCCCCAAAGTCTGGAACACTCTTGACTGATGAATTTGAAGAGCCTTCATTAACTTGCAACAAATAGCCCCAATCCCAAGTCCATGCAAAGTTTTAAACATTCCTTAGCACGTTCTGCTGGGCTACATCAAACAACGTTCTCATTTGCTAAACAAGCAGGCCTACTTTTAGTACAGAGCCATACATCTGTGATTAGCCTTGAACAGTGTATGATAGTTATTTTGTCTGAATGATGATGTTCTTAGGGCATCCTTTCCCTGTGTCGTTGGAGTGCCTCCCCTGCTTCCCAGCTATCTTTTAGCAGCCGCCTGCTTCTCTGATGACTTTAGGCAGCCTCATCACATAACCTAACTTAATCCTCTCCCACAGATTTAGCCATAACCGGTAAATGTAAAATTTTCTGCTCAAAACCAACAGTTTTTTCCACTTCCCAGAGGAAAATCTATCCCAATCTATCATTCACTACAGAAGCATTATGTAGGTGCTGGAGCAGTGATTGTACCGTGGGTAGAGGACTTGACGTGCATGCAGCTGACCTGGGTTCAATCCCTATATGGTCCACAGAGGCCTGCCAACATACCTGAGAACAGAACCAGGAGTAAGTCCTAAGTACCCCTAAATACAAGGAAGGGGAGTGAGGGAAGGAGGGAGGGAGGGAGGGAGGGAGGGAGGGAGGGAGGGAGGGAGGGAGGGAGAAATGTTGCCTAATCATGAAGTAATTCCCTCTTAACTTTCTACCTATAAAAACCGGGCTGAAATGAATTTCCCAAAACTGAGTGACTTAAGCAACAAAATTTTATTGTTCTTTGTTCTACAAAGTCCAAGATCAATGAATT